CGTCCTTACAGAAAATCTAACTGCTCATTTTAAACCTATACTTTGACTTTTAATACTTAACTACAACAAATATCAGATACTTTAAGACTTTTACTCAAGTAATATTCCTAAATGAGACTTTAATTTTTACCAAAGTAAGTTTTTGGTAAGATACTTACATTTTTACTCAAATATCACTTTGTGGTACTTTATACAACACTGAAAGCTGCTGTTGTTTACGTACTCGTGACTTCAGCAAACTTCTCATATTTAGCTTTGTGCAACGTGTGGTCCGAAGGGAAGCCACCCGTGAGTGGAATGAGGCCCGCGGGCCACCAGTTGCTAGTCTCTGATTTGTTGAGAGACGTGGTTTGAACAAGTTCTCTCTCCGTGTCCCAACAGTTCAGCGCCGCCGACCCCCCCTCCTCCTCCTCCGACGCAGAGCACATCCAGCTCTTCTACAGACTCCTCACCGTCTCGATGGAGACCACAAAGTGCTGGGCCGACCGGCTGCCCGGCTTCTCCGAGCTTCAGCGCGACGACCAGAACTTGCTCATCGACTCGGCCTTCTTGGAGCTGTTCGTCCTGCGGTTGGCTCACAGGTGAGGTTTTTCCAGCTGATTACATTTTAGGCTTTGTCCCCTCCTCATTTATTTATAACTCCACCAAGGGGCGAGGTAATGTTTTCGGTCGCGTATGTCTGTCTGTCGTTGTCGTCTGTGGACAACATTACTCAAAAACTTGTGGACGGGTTGTCATGACATTTTTACCACATGTGGGTACTGGGCCAAGGAACACGCCTTTAAATTTTGGTGATGTTCCGGATCACGATGTGGATACAGGAATTTTTTTCTTTTAACCCTCTGAGATCGGCAAAGCTGTGATGCTTTCACAGGGTTTCTGTAAAAAACAGTGAGCTGGATTGGACAGCACAGACTTCAAACTTTATAAAAGTAATGTTAAAACCACATTTAATGATGAATAATTTTTGCCATAATATGCACATTTACAGAACGTTTTGTGACCAGGAAGTGCGTGACTGCACCATGAAATCTATTTTTCCCATTTCCTCGAACACACCACATTTCTGAAACAACCAATCAAAACAGTTTGTCTCTACTAGGCTTGTAAACAGAGAGCTGCCGGGCCTCAAAGTTTGGAGACGGGGGGAGCCAGGAAGCACTTTATAAAGAGAGTCAAACCATTACAAACTCATACAAGGAGATAAAACAGACGTTTTACATGGTGAAATGTGACTGATGAAAACTTAGGAGCTTAATCCCACACCAGTTTGACCATGAATAACGTTGGGTGATATCTCTGACTTTTTTTTTCACATTGGACTCCACCGGGAAGAAATCCCGTGCATACTGCTGCTTAAATGTTCACTACGTCACAACTTATTCAGCAAATGTGTTTCCATCTCTGCTTTTGTGCATTAACTCTTACAGGATGGAGGAAATTGGTCTTGGAGGAGGTTTGCACTCTCCGAGTGCTTCTAGTTTTTTTATATTCTCTTCCCTTTGGCATCCCACGTCATTATTGGGAACAACAGGCAATCCTGTATCGTTGAGTGTTAAATGACAGTGTGTAAACGGGCTGGCGAAGCTGCTGTGTTGGTGGATCTCCAGAGTGGGAGGAGTGCGGCTGAGTAATCGCCATATGAAGCGAATTATGAATGGAGTCTTTAGCTCTGACAGCAGCTCCGCCCACAGAGTTCCGCTCGTCTGATATCTGACGCACAGAGAGCTTTGTGTGCGTTCTGCAGGCTGAAAAAAAAAAAAAAACAACCATGTAAACTTTGTGAGCTGACAGGATTGATTCCATCTAAAGTCGGGTCAGCTGAGTGACCGGAGAACACGGGTTGTTATGGGAGGAAGTACGCTCGCTTCAGCTGACTGGAGACGCCAAGACAAGCGTCTGTTTGAGGACGTGGGCATCTCACTCGTGCCATTGTGGCCCGGCCCTGCTTCGGAATTACCCCGGGTTACCGCTTTGTCCCCGTTCGGCATGCAGCCGGTTAAATTTATGGGTCGGAGGGGTGGCGGGAGGGGCAGCTCGTCCTTTTGTTTGCGCTGTCGTCCGGGTCAGAGGACGGTGAGACACACCAGCGGGCTTACTCACTGACGGTGCAGAACTTTTTCTCCTCTCAGTACAAACGTCCAGGTGCGGGGTGGGCAGAGGATGGGTGGTGGCATCACAGTCCCAGCAGGAGGGGGACTCTGACTCACTCTCAGGGGCACGCACACTCACAGCTCCATCAGCCAAACTCCCACGAAAAGGCAGGAAACTGGAGACAAACGCAGCACTGTCTTCTACTTTCTGCATCTTCCTTCTCATCGCATCACTTACTGACCCCACGTTGAACCAGGATGCTCCGCAGACCCCCCTGCACGAGCACGTGTGTGCGTCAGCGTGTGTGTGTGTGTGTGTGTTCAGTGTGCGCTGAACAAATTTGCTTCGCTCGTCTGGGCCGGCATTGCTGTGAGCGGCCCCGTCACCAAACTGTTTCTGTGGTTATCTTCTCATTACTCTGGCGACGGCGTAGTCAGGGTTGAGAGGAATGTGTGGCGGACATCCAGCTGTGTGTGTGTGTGTGTGTGTGTGTGTGTGTGTGTGTGTGTGTGTGTGTGTGTGTGTGTGTGTGTGTGTGTGNGTGTGTGTGTGTGTGTGTGTGTGTGTGTGTGTGTGTGTGTGTGTGTGTGTGTGTGTGTGTGTGCATCTGCCTGCACGCTTCGTCTGCCAGCCTGTCTGTGCAGCTTTCATCATGTGCTACGACCAAACGCAGGGCAAATAGTGAACATTATAATCCGTTTGGTACGAACTTACTGTAACTCTGCAGAAAAGAAAACAGTTTTTCTGTTTCTAGGTTTATTCCTGAAGTGAAGTTATTAATTAGTCCTCATTTCTACACAAAGAGCTTCTAAAATCACATCTGTGCATCAGTTCATGCTAAAAATTAAAGGGGCAATATTATGTGTTTCTCAGGCATTTATTGAAATTCTGTACGATAATAAAGTAACTTTGTCACCTTTAGATGTTATTAAAATGTTTTTCTATTTAAATCAAAAATAAACTTGACTTTTCATTAATTTCTGTTTCCAAACACCTTGAAATTGGCCTCTGTCTCTTTAAGAACCTCCTGATCTTGTCAGGCCCATTTCAACACATCATCACAGCCGCTTCTCTGCTGTTCACAAGCTGCAGTGTCGTAGCTTTGTTAGAATGATAATTTAAGAAGTAGCAACATTATAAAAGATCAGTTTTGAAAATAGCATCTCAGGATCAGTAGTGGACACCAGCCCGCTAAAGCACAAATCCACTAATTGCAGACCTAAATATTTTGTTTGCACTTTAGCGGTCTTACTAATTTTTATAATTCATAAGCGGATTTGCACTTTCTAAAATTAAAATGCAGTACCATTAATAACTAATTATCTACCAGTCATCATTGTCTTGAACAGCAGAAGGTATGACTGTCAATGATTCACAACATGTGATCTATCCAACAGCGCCACTCCCAAATAAACACAATTATTGGAAACTTATACATCCTTGCTGACTGTTGCTCTCGGTCATGGTTCTCATTTCCCACAATGCTTTGTGTCTGCTTACGTAGCAGGAAGGCAATATTTAGGACTCCCTTTCCCAGCAAAAACAGTAAACATTTGTAATCCATACTAACATTTTGTATGTATTAATTTATTTCACGTTACAATCGCAGCTCCTTTTTAAAAAAAAAAAAGTTTAAACGCTGCAGCTCAATACTTGACGTAATTGGTTGAAGCAATCAGCCAATGGGGTTAGACAGACATCTAGTGGTCAACTGGAGCAACTACATGGAAAACTTTCGTTTCCCATCACAAATCAACTCTGTCAGGTACCCAGAATGCATCGCTTCAGTTTTCCAATAAACAGTTTTAAAATTACTTTATTGATGCTTCTTTAATGAAAAATCTACAACAAACAAAAGAAAAAGACAAAGAAGCAGCCAAACTAGCAATCCTCAACAACTTTTTAATTTTTACACCAGGAGCCAAAGGTCTGTTTCAGGAACTCACATCCCCAGCAATCGGCGGTTGTAGGATTAAGCTGTACAATGGTTCATACACTGCTAATTGACAGTGTTGTGCATATATTGTACATGAATTATTGACGGCTAGTAAGTGTCAATTTGATCTTGTGCTTTAAAATTAGCTTCTGCTTGTTTTTCTATGGCATAAGCGCTTTTGAAGTTGCGGACCTAAATATTCTCACAAGTGCTTCAGAATTTGTGGAGCTAGTTTTTGGATTAGTGTTGACCACCACTGGTTTTGGAAAATTGCATCTCAGGACGCATATGAACCTTACTGTCAGAGCGGAAAGCATGTTTTCTAAAGAACCGGAGTGATTACAGAGAGGACAGCTGGCAAGGTTATTTCAGTCGCTCACACAGACACACATACTGATCGTAATAAGTTACAAATCTTAACACACAGACCAAACAACATGTGAACAAAACAACGTGAGTTATTTTTCAGCTTACCTGTGCCGCGGTGTTTAATCCAAAAAGGACTGAAATGATAAGCTGTGAGTAAACGGGCGGGGTGCGCGGGGCGTTTCTAGTCCCAACCGGTGGTTTTTGCTCCCCTGCCTGGCTGCCTCAGGACACTACAGGATTTCTCAAACATGCATGAATGAGTCAAAGCAAGACTCTGAGCATGTTTTTGATGAGAGGATAACATTATAGCATGATATAAAACTCAAAAAAGTTGATTTTACATGATATACAATAGCCCCTTTAAAGTATCCTTGTATAAAGAAGTTCAGTTCTGGCTCGTGCACAATAAAAATCAAAGAGTTTATTTGTCATAGCTACATGTCTATGAAAGTAGTGTTGCGGCAGAAGTGTAGAGGAGATTTTTGAAAGGCTTTTTAGTAGATTCCTGTTCAGAAGTTTCACTGACAGTAGATGGTGTGAAGAGATTGGGTTGAAAACAAGCTTCCTTTGTCAGATGTGACTGCTGCACGCAGCCTCTCAACACCTGCCTTTCATTTTAAATTACACATAAATCGCAACTTCCCTCGCGTACAAATACTCGCGAGCTGCACAATTATACAAAAACAAAGGTTTAGCAAAAAGCATTCATCATCAGCGCTCGTTAAGCTAACCATATGTTGTTTCACGAGGCCATTAATTAAGCTTATGCAATTAAGCAAATATCTTTCATTAGGCTTGTTTGAATGGGGGGATCATGTGCAGTGTCTTCCCGCATGTGTTGGACCAAATGTTTGTGGGGTAAAAGCTGCAGTAAAAATAATCAGACACAAATGTTTTGCGTTTTATTTTTTTACTCCTAAAGCTGCTAAACCAAAGTTTGCGCTGGCTGTAATTAGTGGCTTCCAGGTCTTTCCCCCTCCTTTTTTTCCATTCGGTTTAAATTCGCACAATTATCTGTTTCTTTTTCCCTCCTTTTATTGTCTCCCATCTCGCACAGCTCAACCTTTTGCTTTCCTCTTTATAACCGAGCTCCCCTGCGTTATTTATTGCCCCCCCTCCTTCACCCTCTCTTAGCTGGATGGTATAAAAGTGGGATGTTGCGTGTTGTGAGTAAGTGATGGT